GCGGGCGTGACACTGAGGGTTGCGATCCGTTGCCGGACACGAAAAAAGACAAAAAGGGAAAAAAAAAAAAAAAATTGAATCTATAAGTCAATTCTTGCCACTGATGATGATGTAGACATAAGTATTGATGGTGAGACACGGGATGATTTTCACAAGGTATTAAGTGAATTATTCTACATAAAATTTAATTCCAGTTTTTGTAAGGAAACACATGCACAGAGCAGACTGGAAATATATGTCACAAAATGTAAAGAGCAGGAACTTCTGAGTGGTGAAGAATGGATGATTTAATTTTCTTCTTTAGGTTTATCCTAATTTTTCTGCCATGACTATGCACAACTCATGTAATAAAAACATTTTCAAAATTATATTCCTAGGAGGATGGGAAGCTCGAGCATGTTTTATCATTTCATAAGTATCCTTTCTTATGCATATGAATAGTCTTCTAAGTTCCACAAAGTAAGATTGACTTGCTGGGATTGTTCCCCAATTTTTCCCTAGCTGAATCATAAAAAAGTCCTGGTATTGTATGAATGAGTTTCCTGGGCCTGCAAAGATGTAAAAGGCCAGGGACAATCATTATTCTCTCATCCTTTTGCCTGCTTCCTATCATGCCCCATCCCTTCTCCCCACCCCCCATATTCACACAAAATGAAAACACGAATGTAAAGCTCCAAAGGTTTATTTGAATTAAGTTCTTCTAGGCAGGAGAACTGGGCAGCCATTCACCAAATTCTTCTCTGAATTTTGGGACTATAGTAGTGAGGCTCTGAACTCTCTTAATCACTTGCTTCTACTCTATGTTTCTCTACAACCATATTCTCAGTTTAAAGTATCAAGTTAATCCATTTAGAGAACTGAACGTGGTGCTCTCCACCTACCAGGTGCTCAGTGCTATGGATGGGGTTGCATGAAAGCTACACATTATCTCCTCAGACCACAATCAACACACTTTCTCCACCGTTTGCAGATCCAGGGCAGTGATGCTGGATGGACTTTGGGCTACATGCTGAACCTGACCAACATGATTCCAGCTGAGACACCGGCGTCCAGACCTCTCTCCCACTTCACCTATGTCTGCCTCATGGTCTTCTTCTCCCTGATCCTGATTGCAGGGATCATCACAGGCTTGTTTATCTTTCACAAGCCTTCGTATTTCTGGAAAGAAATGGTATAGCAGGAGCAGCTAAAATCTGCTGGCTGGAGTGAGAAAAAAAACTTTCCAGGGAGCATTTTCCTCCACAGGAGTGTACAAGGTCATTCTTCCCTGCTCACCAGGGCCAGTCTTGAACAGCCTGAAGCTTCCTTGGCTCTTGCTGAAGCCTTTCTCTGGAAGGTATTTACCACCCTTGCTTAAAGGACTTGCCAAAAGACACTGTCTCTTTTGTGAGTCTTTCCCAATTACCCTGTTTCTCCTTTGTACTCTGTGCTTCTATAGGTCTTAAAGACCTGCCACCTCTTATGATCCTGCTTTATAAATGAACAATATTGACTTTGTCTAGAAGAAATGAGAGTCCTGAGTCCTGTGCTGGGAAGTTGAGCTGGCTAAAAGAAGAATCTCAGGAACTGGTTCAGTTGTACTCTTTAAGAATCCTTTTCTTTCTCCTGTTTCCCATTTGTTAAGAAAGCCATACAATGCCTCTGAAGAGGGCAGACACACATTGCATTCCTAGCCTGCTTTTTGGATAGGAGAATTTTCTAGAATAGGCAAATATGTGCTAAGGCCAAAGAGTTTTCCAAGGGAATATATGTGCTTATGCAGTTAATACAATTCTTAATCTCATCCAAAGCAGGAATGTGAATGAGTCACATATTTCTGGGTGATGCTAAAATGCTACAGAATGGAACACTTAGACCAGAGATTCTTAAAAATCAGATGTACATATAGGCATTCCAATATCAGATTATACTATATGGTAGGTATATATGTGTCAGGAAGAAAAATACAGTTACAACTCAGGGTTGGGAAAATGCACCCTTCAATGCATCTTTTGGGGTTTTGCTATTATTATTTTTATTAATAAAAAACCAAATAACATGTAACATAATAACAAAATAACATGTAACATAAAATTCACCATTTTAACATTCAATTCAGTACAATTCAGTGGCATTTAGTACATTCACAATGTTGTACAACCATCACCACTATTTAATTCTGGAACATTTTCATCACCAAAAAATTGGCTGGAGACAAGACCAACATAGGAGAGGCTCAAACCACAAACTTTTCAGTTAACAGTTGAATGTGCTAACCAACTGCACTACGAAGATGGCTTATTGAGTTTTAAAGCCATGCCACATCTTATTGTCCCAGGCTTTAGTTTAGTGAAAGAGTAGCATTAGTGTGGAATGGCATGCTTTTGCCCTGTCATGGTATTTACAAATCAAAATGTGCCAAGAACCAAGTCTGAAAGTGTTGTTGCCACCCCTATCACACAAGTATAGGCTTTATTTACTTATTCCATATAATATTCTGTGGGAAAATATGAGGCTATGGACTTTATGGAAACATGAAGAGACCCTACCTCTTTCCTTTAAGGATTGGTGCAAGAGCTACCTGGTGAGCATGATTGAGTGGTGATGTTTTATTCTGACCTTGTCCCAAGCTCTCCATTTCTGGATCTGGGGACTGACTGTTGAGCTGATGGAGGAAGAAATGTTCTCCCGCAAACTGGAAGCCAAATGTCCCTATATCTCTTGAACAATCAAGTCATTTTTGACAACAGCCAGGTAAATATAAACTTAATAAAGCTGTGGATAGGAACCTTTTCTTTTCTGCTACTCACAATTTAATTTGCTGGACCTTGATTAGGAATCGGAAGCCAAATTGGGACATGTTCAAATTCTTTCTAGTGGTAGTTGGCTATATTGTTATAGCTGCTGTTAATCAAGCATTTGTAGTATACCATGCTCTGTGCTCAAGTGCATTACATTCATCTTGTCATTTATCCTCACAACAATCTGAAGAAGGCAGCTATTACCACTCCCACTTCATAGAAACAGAAACTGAGGCTTAGAAGAGGTTGAGTCACCTGCCCAAATGGCTGAGCCACTGTCTGGCATGAACGTAGCAATTATTTTCTTTCCCAAATATAATAGACTGTCTCCTCATAACTTCCAAGCCCACTCTTAAAACTCTGCATGAATACAGAGCTCATACAACATGGCAGAAAGGGAAGCAGACAGATGACCTGTTCCCTTATGGACTTGTAATTTAATATTGCCTTAAGTCCACAAAGGATATCATGGCAACACTGATGCTCTGTCCTTGTGCTTTGGTGGTAATACATGCGGCAAACAACGCTAATCAATGGTTCCCATACTCCTGGCTTCTTAATTATACTGCTTGCTTACTGCACAGCAGATCAGCATCAAATAAATAGTAATTGATGATAATGATGACAATAACAGTCAAATAAGTTGAGCCAGTAAAAGCCCCTTTCTTCCCTCTGTCTGCATACAAGCACTGTAATGCACATTATTCTGATCCTGACAACAAACTAGCAGAATGAAAGTATTATTTCCACTTTACAAATGAAGGTCATACAAACTACTACATGGCAGAGCTGATACTCAAATGTCTTCTGTCCCAAGTATATTGCCTTTTTTTCCCCCCTGAATACTTCCTCTCAGCAAGTTGAAATTAGAATTCACAAGTTTCCTTCAGAGAGCACAATTATTTTCTTATACTATTTCTATCTTATTGCCTAGGTCAAAAAAAAAAAAAAATCCTTTAAGGTATTTGGGAGCCAAACTCCACTTGTCGAAATTTGAAATTACGGAGATAATCACCAAGCACAACCAATCAAAATTCTATTGGAGGGAAGGCTGGTTTTGAGGCAGATCCAGGAATCTGCTTTGGGCCATTCTGGTGGGGCAGGCCAAATAAGATGGGTCATCATTAACTAGTTTTAATATCGGATTGATTACCATTCTTCTCTGGACTTTCAGTTAGGACTGAAAACTTGGTTCTGGTAGTAACCCTATTCCTTTACAAGGTGGGAAAAAATTTTTTTTTTCCATGAATCCATAGGGGGAAAAAATCAGCAGAAGCGGTTATTTCTGAAGACAAAAGGATGAAGCTATTTTGGGCCGGCCCGGTGGCGCACTGCTATAGTGCGCTGCTTGGGAGTGTGGTGGCGCTCCCGCCGAGGGTTCGGATCCCACATACAGACCGGTTCCTGCTCACTGGCTGAGCGAGGTGTGGGAGCAACACCGTGGGTTGCAATCCCGTTGCCAGTCCTGGTCCGGTACGGGCGCGACACTGAGGGTTGCGATCCATTGCCGGACACGAAAAAAGACAAAAAGGAAAAAAAAAAAAAAAAAAAAGGATGAAGCTATTTCATTAAGCTTTGTGTGTGCGCACATGTGCACATGTGTTGGTGTGTGAGAAAGGAATACAAAAATTTCAACTTGTCCAATTCTTAATACGAAATATAGAATGTGATGATATAAATAAAATTTTTTAAAAGTGCATTTCATTTTAATGTTGTATCAGTCAAGGTCCCTGCAAGAAAGAGATGGTATACTCAAATTGGGTAACTAAGGAAATTTTAAGAAAGAGATTAAATCCAAAATATTATCATTTCAACAAGTAATCAGTATGAAAATTATTAATATTTGTTTTTTATACTAAGTTTTGAAAATATGTTGTGTATGTTACATTTACAGAACATTCATTAGGACTAGCTACATTTCAAGTGCATAACAGCTATGTGTGGCTAATGACTACCATATTGGACAACAAATGTCTTAAAAATACACAAAGTTAAAAAGACACAGGGAATAAGCCCTCCTTGTCTTTCCCTTCATGGGAGGATTTTTAAAAAATAGCTAGAGATGCTGTAATATTCTTGCTATTATTTATTGTATGTGAGGTTTAACATTATTCTTAAAAAAGCTTTTAGGAACCTAGCTCAGAATTTCACTTTATTCCTGAGGTTTTGTAGCATTCGTGTTTAGTCAGAGATGCTTGTTACTCAGGCCAAGATGCCCGATGAGAGACCTTGAGAAAATTGCAACTGGATTCAAGGATAATGTAAGATAATTCTTGATGCTTACATTCCACACTCAAAATGTAAATTTGAATATTAAGATAAAAATTAGTATTTTAATAGCTCAGAAAACAAAGCTTGCAACACAATAGTAAAACTACTATTAAAATATATTCCAATTTATTGTCAGTTTAAAAGATGAGCTGAATTTCACCCAAATTGGTCTGTTCCCCCTCTGATTCAAATTCCAGTAGTTGCTATCTTGCTAGAACATGATAGTTGCTCCTAATTAGCTGTGCTCACTAACCATATGTTTCAGTTTGTATTAGATTGATCTTCAAGTACATGGGTCTAAAAAAGGCAGCTGGGCTGCTGGTAAGTTTGGGTCTCTTTCTCCTTGTCCAGTGGCTTCTTGAGACATATTCTCATGATGAACAACAGGAGCTCATGAGAGTGAGAGGAAACTAGAATGTCTCTTAAGGACTTGGCCAGGGAGGGCCCTCTGTCACTTCCATTCACATTCTATTAACCAAAACAAGTCATATGACCAAGATCAACATCAGAAAGAAAAACAATGGGAGAAATGGCAAGCTCATATGGCAAAGGACATGATTAATTCTAACAGGAAAAAATGAAGCACTGATTGGCACAATGATTCAGTCTACCACAGTGTCTCATTAACTGAAACATAAAGTGTGTTTCCTGTAAGTTACAATCTACTTATTTTGCCATAAAATATTCTCTTTTAAAAAATATCATTACTACAGAATAGAGATCCCAGAAATCAATCCACAAACCTACAGCCAACCAATCTTCAACAAAGGCAACAAGAACATACATTGGGGGAAAGACTGTCTCTTCAATAAATGGTGCTGGGAAAACTGGACATCCATATGTAGAAGAATGAAAAGAGACTTGTACCTCTCACCATACACCAAAATCAACACAAAATGGATTAAAGACTTAAATATAAGACCTGAATCTATAAAGCTCCTAAAGGAAAATGCACGGGAAATGCTTCAGGAAGCAGGACTGGACAAAGACTTTATGAATATGACCCCCAAAGCACAGGCAACAAAGGAAAAATAAACAAATGGGATTATATCAAACTACAAAGCTTCTGCACAGCAAAAGAAACAACAGAGCAGAAAGACAACCTACATAGTGGGAGAAAATATTTGCAAACTACACATCAGACAAAGGGTTAACATCCAGCATATACAAGGAACTCAAACAACAGTAGAAAAACAAATAACCCAATTAAAAAATGGGCAAAGGAACTGAATAGGCCTCTCTCAAAGGAACATATGCAAATGGCCAAGAGATACATGAAAAAAAATGCTCAACATCGCTCAGCATCAGGAGTGATGTTTTATTACAAATCATTTGTTTTTTTTTTTTCGTGACCGGCAACGGATCGCAACCCTCAGTGTCGCGCCCGTACCGGACCGGGACCAGCAACGGGATCGCAACCCTCGGTGTTGCTCCCGCACCTTGCTCAGCCAGTGAGCGGCCGGTCTGTATGTGGGATCCGAACCCTCCGCGGGAGCGCCGCTCACGCTTCCCAAGCGGCACACTGTAGCAGTGCGCCACCGGGCAGGCCCCTATTACAAATCATTTTAATGCAAATCAAAACCACATTAAGATACCACCTCACCCCAGTTAGATTGGCTATCATCAAAAAGATGGAGAACAACAAATGCTGGCAAGGATGTGGAGAAAAGGGAACCCTCCTACACTGTTAGTGGGACTGTAAATTGTTGCAGCCATTATGGAAAACAGTATGGAGATTACTTAGACAACTTCAGATAGAACTGCCACATGATCCAGCAATTCCAGTGCTGGGTATATACCTGAAGGAATGGAAAGCATCATGTCAAAGAGATACTTGCAACTTCATGTTTGTCACAGCTCTGTTTACAGTAGCCAGGAGTTGAAACCAACCTAAATGTCCATCATCAGACAACTGGATAAAACAGAATGAAATATTGCCATTGGCAGTAACATGACTGAACTTAGAGAAAATCATATTTAGTGAAATAAGCCAGGCACAGAAAGAGAAATACCATGTTCTCACTCATAAGTAGGAACTAAAATAATAAATATATAAATAAAAGAAAGATACAACATTCACAATAGTACATTGAACTTTCAAAAGGACAACTGAGGTTACTAGAAGTGGGAAGGGAGGAAAGAGGAAGGGATGCATAAAGGGCCACGAATAGCAATGATTGTGTATATTATTGAATCTAATAATTATTCTGATGTGATCATATATTGCACACGGGTATCGATGTTCAATTCTGAACTCCACGGATATGTACAATCAACTTTGTTACAATTAAAAAAAATGTCATTACTTCCAAGACTTTATCAGTCTGCAACTTCTTTCCACACCTTTAACCAGGATAGTCTGGCAGCTCCCAAATTAGCCCTACATACTAAACTGGTAGATTTCCTAGGAGACTATGCATCTATTTATTTTTCTTATTTTATATGTTTAGGACAAACCCAACTTCCTATTTTTACATGAATCTAGTACAACTTAGCACAGTTTTATCACAAGTATAAAAGATTTTTCAATAATGGAGAGAGAGGTGCCTCTAAGAGCCTCCTCTTTAGAAAAGTGGCATTCGAGACTGTTCATTTGTTGATGGCATTGCTATACCTTTTGCATTTTTCCATTTTAGATACATTAATTTCTAAATTGATACAATGATGGCATCATCCTCTTCAGCATCAGAGTTGACTTTTTGTTAAAGCTTACCAGAGAACATGGATTAATGGCAAGTGAGATACACTTGTCTAAGAAACAACATCACCCCTTATAATGAAGTTCTAAGAAGGGAGGGGAGAAAGTCTTGTGAGCTAGGCAGGGAATAGTGTGTATTGGAATTATATAAACTGAACTCTCCCTTTATATAAACTGAACTCTGCTCCTCCCCCTGTAGTTTATCATGATTAATGCCACTGCTGCCTCAACTGACCAAGATCAAAATCAGCCTCATCAATGGGACCTGCCCATTCTCCCTTTGCAACATTTTTCATTTTGACTTGTGCTTCTAATATTGTTACTGCCCCAGTAAAGATCTGTAATATATTTCACCTGGACTCATAGCAGGAATGGTGGTCTTGCTTCCAATCTATTGCTGCCAGATTAATCTATTATAAAAAGTACAGTTAATCACATTGTTCCCCAACTAAAAACAAAGGTAGCCTTCCACTGCCTAAAAACATAAAGTCAAACTCCCCAGCAAACATTTGAAGGCTTTCAATGATCCATGGCTGGCAGTTCTTTGCAGGCTCAGATCCCACTCTATACTTCTGATGTTCCTTACACTCCAGCCAGATAGACGGAGTCTTCATCTGACACTATTGAGGTTGTCTTCTCAACTTGGAATACTTTGACCCCACTGTACATTCACAGTTCAGTTCAAATGCCTCTTCTTTTGTGAAGCCTTCTCCAATTCTCCAAGTCATATTTTGCTTCTTCCTTGCACTACCACAGCCGATTACCAGGGCCTCCATTAAAGTATTCACACCATTCTTTTCAGTGTCTGGGTTAAGATCCTGGGGCAACATATGTGACCAATTTCTTCCTAAAAAGTTGGACTTGGGTATTTTAGCAGGACCTAAGGTAACAGTCCTCTCCACTGCCAAGTCACCTGCAAACCCTTCTGTTCCTGGCAGGCTGGTCCATACCACTATTTCTGTTCACTATCTTTATGTTATCTCTTGACATGACCCTCCTCCTCCTCCAGCTTTGAAGGACCAGCTCAACTTCTGATTCTTCAATGAAGCTTTCTTCAAATACTCTAGCCACATTGCATTTCCCTTGAAACATGCATTTAGTTTCCCTATGGCTCACCAACCAGCACTTGATTGTACACAGTAGAATTTTAAGGATTAGAATGAACCTTAAAAGATTATGCTTATCAAAATTTAATGTGAATACACATCACCCAGGGATCTTGTTGAAATAAAAATTATTTAAATTTAATTAATAAAAAATGATTCAGTAGGTCTGGAGTGAGGCTCAAGGTTCTACATTTCTAACAAGCTGCTAGGTAATGCCAATATGGCTGTCCAGGGACCACACATTGACCACTTTATCATTACATGGAGTTTCTTTTTCTGGCTCTCAGATAAGTAGTCATCTACTACCTTACTGCTGTCCTTCATAGGCAGCCTGTTTCACAGGGGCTAGCTCAAGTGCCACTTACAAAGCTTATTTCTTCTCTTACACAACAATCCTGTTCTTTTGTCAGTTTTCTGTGCCCCAGGAGATTCTCTCTGCCTTTCAGGAGTCACTGTCTTGCAAAGAACTGGTGTGCTTCAGAGAGATTTCTTCCAGCTCTCTTGCTCTGCTCCTTCAGTGTATTACCTCCATACTCCTGGTAAAGGCCCATGGGAAAAAGTTGGTAGTGATACATTATGCCAGCTCACATGGAGCTTTTAAATTTTTTTAAAGTTTAGCTAGTTTCTTATTATTCCTATGTACGGTAGATTTTTCCTCCTCCTGTCACTCTACAAGGGATGAAAGAGCTACTCACTTTCATGAATTTAGTTCCCATGGGTTTTAAAAAAACACGATTTTGTACTTCAACCAGCTGGGTAGAAGCTGCAATCTCTTGTCATACTCACACAATAATTATTTGCAAAATGAGTAAATAAATCATGAAATTATTTATTTTTACAATGTTTCTAACCAGAAATGCAGTTCACTATTATAAATAACTAAAAATAAAGCCTCAATAAATCAAATAGATTTCCAGTTTTGAAAAAGCAACAATTATTTGTACTTTACATTGTCAGTGTCCTTAGGCATATTTATAAATATTCTTTCCAAAAAATTGAAAGAAACACATAACATAGATGGCTAATTTTATAATAACACAAGTTGAATTTTGATATACAACTTTTTTTATTATGAAATGATTTTTAGCAAAAAACAATGAAAAGGGAGGCAAATAGATAAATAATTGATAGTTTTTAAAATGAACTACTCAGCACCACTTCTAGTTTTTTCTTGATGGTAAATCATAACACTCTCTTCAGCTCTGCAACTTATAGGCATACCATAATTGTAATCAATAGCTTAAAAATATGATCTTCTGTGTTTTTCCATATCTCTTGGATTTTTACCTCTACAATAGACAACTGAACCGTCTTCTTGGAGTACACAGGTAGATGAAAGTCCGTGTAAAGAATATGGTGTGAATCTGCTCAGTCTCCTGCATGTAAATCCATTTAAAGGATGTACTCTTCGACTGTCTTCCGGACAGGCCAGTCTAATAATATAACAGAAACAAGTTATTTTTAACCTTTTATTATAAGAGTTTTCAAATATTAACCAGACTAGAATAATATAATGCACATCCATGTGCTCATCACAGAGCTTCACTGATTATCATTTTGCCAATCTTGTAGAAGCAAGTACTAATTGTAATTACAGGATTCAGACTTCATAAAGAGCATTGTGTTAAGGAAGAAATGAGCAAATGTACTCTTTTACCAACAGTCAAATGGTGAGGTGGGCATAATTATTACACGAAGCAACGTGGTAAAAGTAAACAGAGGGTACAGAAGGATGCACCTTGCTGACTGACTAGAATGGAAGGAAGTGGGAGAAATTTTGTAGGCCCCTCTTCATCCTGTAGGGAGAACCAGGACTACAGCAACTCTATTTGCTTATTCCTTTTTAAAGGATGAAGTTAAAGAGAGTAACAGAATCATTTTGGTATAGCAGAAAATCAGTAGGTTGTATTACTTATTGAATATTTCTTTGACATCGAGAAGCTGGAAAAGGCTAATGAATTATCTACTTAGAATTGTAATTTTTGCTTTCACATAGGCTTAAACCTTAAAACCTCTCAGTAAACCTCTACTGAAATATACATTTGTGGAATAATTCTAGTAGGTTTTAAATGTGTTTCATAGTGTTTATAGAAAACTCTATTTTTTTCCAATTACAGTCCCTTCTTATCCAAGTTTCTCATACGCTGTTTTACATAAGCCTGTCAGTAATGGTTAAGAGGGAGAGGGAGGAGGAATCCTGTCTTGGCTATCATCTGCCTTATTTTTTCTCAGACCAAGGATTTTTTGGTCTAAATTTTTCCTTTAGGTTTTTCCAACTTGACTGGAATACCTTTGAGTCATTTTAATCCTGTCTATAGTAGCTGAAGAAGTTAGTGAAGTAAGAAAAACTAGGTAATTTGAAACAAAAACTTGAATTTGATTTTTATAGAGTAGTTCAATTCAATATGGAGTATCCTTGTATACTGAAACCTACTCTTTCATATAGTATACTTGTAATCCCAACCCCACATTTGGTACTGAATGGCAAGAAGGAAGAAAATGGAAGCCAAGAAGAGTCCTTTTCTTTTACATACCTTTTTTTGAATACTATAATACTCTTAACCCAACCCTCTATCAGTAATAGATTTTCCTAAGAGAAGTGAGGAATTTTTATTGACCAACCTTGGCTTTTATCCTGTCCAATAGAAGAGAGTGGGCTGGGGTTAGGGTTTAGACTTAACAATCATGGACTAGAGCTAAGTTATCATAAGGGAAATGAAACTTAAATTTCTGGCTTATATGATACCAACTGCTAGTCGCTGGAAACCTAGGTACAGATGAACTGATTAATCAGTTTTGCAACCCCAGGCTATAAGGAAGAAGTGACAGTCATTTCAAGAAGTCATGGCCAGGCCTCGCAGAGATTGTATATAAACCCTGAATATGTATGAATTCATGAAACACTTGTTTTCTAACATGTTTACATGTCAATGGTAGCAATTAGGGATGGCATGCAAAGGATGGTTACACAGCTAAATCAATACTTACCTCTGACTTCTGCTTCTGCAATTATCAGTATCAAAATTCCTGTGAAGTATAGAAAGTGAGGAAGATAGATAAGATGTTGGTAAAAAAGTTATGAGAGAAAAAAAAGTAGTTTCTAAAGAAAACCAAGATAACCTACATAGGGTCAAGCAAGAGTTCACATCTAACCAAGTATACGTAGAATAATGTATAACTGGAGAAAACATATTCTAAATTGGGGAAATGCACATAACTTTCTCAGTATAAAATCTTCATCTCCCTTCAACCTTCTCTCTTCTTCTATGACCTTATTTTCTATTCTAGTACTCCTTTCTCTTTTCCTGGTTTTTCTTTTTATTTCTATCTCTTTTTATATCCTTTTTTCTTTATTTTATTCTTCCATTTAGGATGTCATGATTCACCTCCTTTTTGCCTTGTGCTTCAATTTTTGGGGTCAATGCTCTTCTAATACTCCCACCTACATGGTACAAATAACAAATCACTAAATAACAGAAAAAAATGACTACTGGGTTGTGTAAGTTAAAATAAATTTTTTGTAGCCATCTGTAAGAAATGTTTTTTTAAATGCTTGTCTAAAAATAGTGGCATTTCCTTTAAATTTCCATTTCTGTTATTCTTTATGGTCAAAAATTAAACCATTTAAATCTAAGTTGTATTTACTTTAATCCTGAGATATAACTTAAGGGAAATTTCCAATTTGTAGCAATCACACATAAACCTGGGTTGAAAACTGCATCTACAGAACAACAAATATAAATTTTAGTTTTGTGTGATAATTTATACCACTTTTAAATGTTTATACAAATACCCTAATTTGAAAGAAGTTTGAGTCTTTTGTTAAAAGTACCATTCCTTACTGTATAGAATAAAATGACTCACTTGTCTAAATACCAATCAGGATTTATGTTAATAGGAAGTGGGTGGTCCTGAAAACATCTTGGTTTTTGTAAGGGTTTTTCATGTTCAAAGTCCAAATCTTCTGAAGGCATTTGTTCTTGTGGCTCACTAGGTGAGTGGTCACAGTAAGACATATGCTGTGGTCTAGTTCCATTGTTGAAATCAAAATTTCTTAATTGCATTTGTTTTTGAAACTTTTGAAATGGTGGTAGTCTTCCTCCATGACCTCTACTAACACATTTTTTCAACGGCGTTTTCTCTGAGAGATCAATTTTGGAATGGTCATGTAAAGGTCCCAGTATGTGCTCTGATACTTCATCAGTATATTCTAAATCTTCCAAATTCATTTCATCATGACAATAGTGCTGGTGGAAAGGTCTTCGTCTCTGAAAACCACCTGTACTGAGGTAATTAAAACCCTCTACAGGTAACTGGTCCTGAAAACCACCATGAGGTAAGTACTCACAGCTGTTATGAAAAGGCTGTTGTTTTTGTCTCCATCCTCTGTTAGCAAAACTGAAATCTTTTGTTGAAAATTGTTCCCGAAAGTTATTATAGGCCTGATGGTTATGAACAGTAGGCATCCTTTGTCCACAAACTTTGCTAACAAAATCAAAACCATCTCTACGATCTGGTTCATGGAAGTCACTGTGAGGCTGATTGTCATGAAATGGTTGTGGTCTTGTTCCAGGTACCCTGTTATTAAAATCCATTTCCTCTTGGGAGATATAACACTGATGATTAGCAAAAAATGAACATCTTGGTCTCTTGTTACCAAAATCCCAATTTCTTAGGTGTCTCTTTTCTGGCATGCTGTCACTACACTGGTGTTCATAAAAATCCCTATGCCTTTGGGCAGGTCCATTGTTGACGTTATCATAATCTGTTATCTGTACATCATTTTGAGGGTGCTGATCATTAAGGAGCCTTGACTTTTTCCCAGACCTGTGTGTGGGAGGGGTAAATATGCTATAAATCCTTAGTATTTTAAGAATAAAAGAATAAATGCTACGCTATTAGCAAAGTCTCCCTTTATCCAATTCACTAGGACACAAGATAACTTTGGTGTAATGTCCCCTAAATTGAATAGTGCCGCATTTTCATTTTTCCTTTGATCTGTTTATGAGCCCAAAACTCTCCTGCAACTGTCAGCTTGTAATATTCCAAGCAAAAGTATTGGTGTTAAATAGAACAAATTTTTTGTAAAAACTGGTGAACAACATATTTCACAGAATCTTTTCCTTTAAAGAAAGGTATCATAACTAGATCACTTTTACCACAGTTTATCTTATGCATTAAAGAAGTAATCTTACAAACATGGTTGATGGCATGCTGGTTTACTGTACTGACTTCATGTCAGAAGAAATAAGCAAAAACATATACTGCTTTATCATTTATTCCTAAAAACATGAATAGAGCTTATAACATAAAAATATTTAATATATAAATGACACATTTGGGCTGTTTCTAGTTTTTTGGCTTTATAAATAAAGCTGCTATGAATATTCATGTCAGGTTTTTGTATAAACAAAAGTTTTCATTTCTCTGTGATAAATGCCCAAGGGTGCAACTGTTGGGTCATGTGCTAAATCCATTTTTAGTTTTATAAGGAACTGCCAAACTGCATTATAACATAAAAACACACCAACTTGAAATAGAGATAAAAAGAGGAATAGAGAGCATTTAGAATGAAAAAAAGATAACCATTAAAAACCCAGGATAAGATACTATAATTGACTAGAGTTAGAACTGTGCTTCCTAGCAACAAAACAAAACCCAACCTAACCAAAAACAACAAAAAAACCCGATATTATCTGAAAACAAACAAAAAACAAAACAAAAAAACTGGTTTCTAGCAATAATTTTTTTTTTTTTTCTGACTGGTAAGGGGATCGCAACCCTTGGCGTGGTGTTGTCTGCACCACGCTCAGCCAGTGAGCGCACCAGCCATCCCTATATAGGATCTGAACCTGCATCCTTTGTGCTACCAGCGCCGCACTCTCCCAAGTGAGCCACGGGGTTGGCCCTAGCAATAATTTCTAAGAGGGATTTTCACAAGGACTCATTTATAAGGAAGAGTAATGTAATAGTTATTTTCAATTTTGAAGGTAAAGAAATGCTTCCTTAGAATGGGAGAGCAGAGATTATATGAAGGAAAGAGACGGTGTCATGGCAGACATGAAGTGCCATGGTAAACTGAAGAGCTCTGTATGCCCCCTCATATTTTATGTACATCTTGTGATACTAATGCCTAACAGTGCCTGGCACTGCTCAAGTGCTTCTTTCCTGGGGAAGAGAAAAATCAGAACTGTTCAGGTGGCAAAATGCTTCATGTTTTGAAGTAAGAATTGAGGCTGGAAGAAAAAAAGTAGAAGATTATACCATTAATGTCTCTTTTAACTTGTATTAAATCAGTTCATGGTAGATAATCTCAACTTATTGAAAACAATAGTTACATAATATTTCAATTTTTCTCAAAAAATCAAACCAAAACCAAACACAAACTATTCCTCACATTTAAAATAGTACTGTATATTGAGATTAGTTTTATAGAGAAAGGTGCCAAAAAAGAGCGCAAAAACTCTTTAAAGAAAAAAAATTTCAAGATTTTTTTCAATTATCTCTCAGTTTATAAACATACATATGAGGGGACTTCAAAATAGGAAAGATTCGTATTATCTTTTAATTCTATTTTTAATATCTATTTAATTCTATGTATATGTGTTAAAGTCATAGAAGAGATTCTAGGACCATTTGATAAACTTAATTCAGTTTCTGACATATTGGTAGAATAAACACAAATGGTTACTTAGAATCATAGCATTTTAGATTTTGAGGGATAACAGAGATTACCTAATTCAATATTTCCCAGTTTGAAGAATATTAGTTTCCCACAGCATGATAATGATTGTTCTGTGGGAAAAAGAGTTCTATGCTGCTCAAGTAAGTTGGGAAAATGCTGGGTTAAATAAAATTTAATAAACTACTTTAGGATTTCTAAGGCTTTTTTTTGGGTGGGCAGTACAGGGATCCAAAACCTGTGACCTTGGTATTATCAGAACCACATTCTACCAAGTGAGCTAACCAGCCAGCCCAGGTTTCTATAGCAGGCCGCATTTTCCAAACTTATTCGACTTAAAAAAAAAATCCTTTTTATTCCTGTAAAACTAATATCTCATGAAACACTTAAGAAAAGTTAACTGATCTGGTCCAACTGCATCATGTTAAAACTTAAACAACTGTGGACTGAAAAGTTTATGTCACTTGCTCTAGATCACATACAATTAATAAGTGGTAGAGCTAATAAGATTTAAACCCAAATTTCCCAATTCTAGTCTTGTGGGTTTTTTCCCTACGATTACAAAAGAATATATTTCATAATTTTCATAAAATATTCATCTAAAGACATGTTACGAATATTTACCCATGAAAGTCTTTATCTGAGGGCCAATCCCTGGATTCTTCCATAGAATTGAATGGGGGATTTGCATCTTCATCAGAACCCCAGACATCCATTCCAAGATTACTAGAGGAAAAAATTAATAAACAGAAACATAAAATTCAATCAGAAACAGAGTTACAGGCTTTTAGAAACATAAGTTGAACACAAAATTAGGGGAAAAAGCAAATCTAAACACTTTTTATCTCGGGAAAAGCTAAGGATATTTTGCCATTTGCCTTAGTAGAAACAATTAAGCTTAAGAACAATGAGGTAAACATTAGCTAAGCAAAATTTAGAAAGTATTTTTAATTGTTAGGATGTAAACATCATTTCCTGTGGCCAAGAGGTCATAAAAATTATTAAAAATTTTAGGAATAGGCACTATGAGGAAAGCTTGGGGGGGGGGGATGGGAAAAAGGTCAGGCGCACTCACATACTGAATAAACTAATAAGCCCTTATATTTTTAGCTTCACCAAAATATAATCAAAACATCATATTAAATAATAACAGTAATGGAATTTTACACATCCTCAATTAATAATGGAGATTTAGTACTAGTTTTGTTTACTATCCCTTCCTGCGTTAGAAACATTTCAAGATCTCTCGTAGATGCAGTTTCAATTAGATAATTATAAATTTTTTTTTTTCTCCTTGCTATGGATAACACACAGGTATTTCATGACTTTAAAAACATTTTTATTTGGAGTCACTTGTAAAATGCATATAATCAATCTGAATTTCTACAGAAAAAATTATATACATTAGAATTTTGTTTAAAGGGAATTTTAGCTGGATGGGGATTCCCGTCCTTTAGTACATGTGTTATGACTATATGAAGGTATAAATCTCAGAGCTAGTAGCTAACATTTATTGAGCACTTACCATGTTTGGCACTGTTCTAAGAGGTTTACTTGTATTAACTAGTTTAATCCTTACAACAACCTATGAGGTATTATCACCATATTACGTAGCTAACATTTATTGAGCACTTACCATGTTTGGCACTGTTCTAAGAAGTTTACTTGTATTAACTAGTTTAATCCTTACAACAACCTATGAGGTATTATCACCATATTACAATCAGAAAACTGAGGTGCAAAGATCACACAGTAGCAGCAATGAAATTCAGACACAAGCTATCTGGTTCCAGAGCACACGTTCTTAGTTGATGCTATGGACTGAATGTGTCCCCCTAAAATTCATATGTTGAAATCTTACTCCCCAATATGATGGTATTCAGAGGTTGAGCTTTTAGGAGGTAATTAGGTCATGAGGGCAGAGCCCTCACGAACGGGATTAGTGCCCTTATAAAAGACACAAGAGAGATGATATCTTTCTCTGTTATGTGAGAATACAGCGGAATACAAGTTTATCTGCAAATCAGGAAGAGAGCCTTTATCAGGAACCAAATCAGCTGGCACCTTGATCTTGGACTTCCCAGTCTTTCTGTTGTTTAAGCCACCCAGTCTATCGTATTTTTGTTATGCAGCCATAAGACAGCAAACAAGTTATATTGCCTCTTTGGAAAGGAGGTAATTAATTTTAAGTACACAGCAGTGTTCAGCCCTGTTCTATTTAGTACATGAATCAACATGTTACTTAGTTAAATCTCTCCTATTCCTACTTCAAAATATTTCTGGCTGGTTTGAATAAATTCTTCCAGGTGACTATACTTCTCTTTCCAATGCTGGCTGTCAATCTCTAGCTTACTTGAGCAGGACCTGCCTTTTTTTACAGAAAATATTTTGTCTCAAATATCTTGATATTCAGCCTCTACAGAACTACAAGCTTTTCTTCTGTTTGAACGGTAGTTTACCTAGACATCTACGTTTCCCTATTCACAAGCATAACAAATATTATGTGTTGTTTTAAGCCATTAAATTTGTAATTTGTTACAGCAGCAATAGAAAACCAACACATTGGCACTGATCACAAACTCAATTTGCAACTTCCTCTCTAGTCCAAAGATCAAACCAAAAAGTAGGAATCTAAAACAGAACTCTGATTCATCAGGGCACTAAATCCGGAGGGTTCTCAGACTTGGATACACAAAATAATCACTTTTTGATTTCAATTTAATTGCTTTTAAGTGGGGCCAGATATCAGTTTTTGTTTTCTAAAAAAGTCTCCTGATAAATTGTTATATGTAATCAAATTTGAATATCTCTATTCTAGGATAAAAGGAAATAAGCATATGAATCACCTGTCAGGGGGAATAACTTTGTTCTCTAATAGGTAGCTAGGAGTACTTAGAAGATGAACACTATTTTCCCACTCCCAAACTGGTAGAGCTAGAAGTACTGTAGACAGCAGTCAACATAGGGCTGCCAAGTTGGCAATGCTATGTGTCATTAAAGTATTAAGGGCTGTCCTTTAGGTTTTAGCCAAGGGGCTCTGTATACAACTATGGTCACCTGTGCCCCAATACCCTCAATGACTTTAGACAGCTGGTTAGGCTGACTTCCTCCTCTTTACGTAACATGCCAACTTGAGTGATACATACCAAATCAGAAACCTGGGAATCAACCTTTTTTTCCCTCCCGCACTCACTCACCCATATCTCTTCACCATGTTTTAATAAGTCTGTCTTTAAACACTCTTAACTGTCCTGCTCCCCATCTCTTCCGCCACTGTCTTGGACTAGGCCTTGATTACTTTTTCCTTTAATTTCTGTAATTTCTCTCAAACTGTTCTTTGTGCCCCCAACCTGGTTCCTTCCATTCTGTGATATTGTGAAATACATATTTGGTCTTAGTCCCTGTTTCCTGACATACAGCTCCTAATACCTTTGGAATCTAGGGAGTGATAAGAGTGCCTTTCATACGCTAATTAGATGATTGGTGTCTGGGGGCCCCTAGATAGCCTCAGGATGGGGCTGTTCACCCAAAAGACCCAGGCATGATTAGAGGATTCAAACTTGTAACCCCATGCATCAACACCAGGGGAAGGGAGAGGGGCTGAAGGTTAATGGCCAATGATTTAATCAATCATGCCTACATAATGCACCTTCCATAAAAACCCAAAAGACCTGGGTTCAGAGAACTTTTTAACATGTGAAAGTTCCTAGAGGGTGGTGTGCCTACAGAGGACATGAGCTCTGCACCGCTTCCTGCATATCTTGCCCTATGCAGCTCTTCTATCCGGCTATTCATTTGTATCCTTTGAATATTCTTTATAATAAATGGGTAAACATAAGTGTTTCCCTGAGTTCTGTGAGCTTCTCTAGCAAAAAAGATCCTAAACAACAAATGGGTCAGAGAGGAAATCAAAAAGGAAATTAAAAAATTCCTGGAGACAGGGGCGGCCCGGTGGCGCACTGGAGAGTGCGCTGCTTGGGAGCGCTCCCGCCGAGGGTTCGGATCCCATGTGGAGACCAGTTCCCGCTCACTGGCTGAGCGCGGTGCGGGTGCAGCACCGAGGGTTGCGATCCCGTTACCGGTCAGTAAAAAAGACAAAAAGGAAAAGAAAAAATTCCTGGAGACAAATGAAAATGAAAACATAACATGCCAGAACCTATGGGATACAGCATGACACTTTTTGACAAAAGTGCTATGAATATACAGTGGGGAAAGGACAGCCTCTTCAATAAATGGTGCTGGCAAAACTGAATATCCATATACAGAAGACTGAAACTAGACTCCTCTCTGATCATATAAAAAAATCAACTCAAAATGGATTAAAGGGGCCGGCCCGGTGGCGCACTAGAGAGTGTGCCGCTTGGGAGCACGGTGGCGCTCCCGCCGAGGGTTCAGATCCCATGTGGAGACCGGTTCCCGCTCACTGGCTGAGCGTGGTGCGGGCGCAACACCAAGGGTTGCGATCCTGTTACCGGTCAGTAAAAAAGACAAAAAGGAAAAAAAAATGGATTAAAGACCTAAATTTAAGACTCAAAACTCTGGAACTACTAGAAGAAAACACAGGGGAAATACTACATGAAATGGGAGTGGGCGGTGTTTTCGTGTAAGACTACAAAGGTGCAGGCATCTAAAGCAAAAATACAAAAATGGAACTACATCAAACTAAAAAGCTTCTGCACAGCAACGGACACGACCAACAGTGAAGACACAACCTACAGGATGAGAGAAAGTGTTTGCAAAGTACACATCAGACAAGGGGCTAATATCCAGAATATATAAGGAACTCAAACAACTCAAGAGCTAAAAACCAAATAACCCAATTAAAAAATGGGCAAAGGATATGGACAGATATTTCTCAATAGAAGACAAATAAATGGCCAACAAGAACATGAAAAAATGCTCAACATCACTAATCATAAGGGAAATACAAATTAAAACTACAGTGAGATATCATCTCACCTCAGAATGGTTATTATCAACAAGACAGAAAATAACAAATGCTGTTGAGGATATGGACAAAAGGGAACACTCCTACACTGTTGGTGGCAATGTAAATTGGTATAGCCATTGTGGAAAGTGGTACGGAGGCTCCTTGGAGAACTAAAAATAGATCTACTTTATGATCCAGCCATCCCACTACTGGGTATATACCCAAAGGAAATGAAATCAATATGTAAAAAAGACATCTGCATTCCCATGTTCATTGTAGCACTAGTCACAATAGGCAAGAAATGGAATCGACCTAAATGCCCATCAATAAATGAATGGATAAAAAAGCTGTGGTATAAATACACAATGGAATACTATTCAGCTATAAAAAAAATGATGTCCTATAATTTGCAGCAACATGGATGGAACTGGAAATCATCGTATTAAGGGAAGTAAGTCAGGCACAGAAAGACAAATACTGCATGATATCGCTCATATGTGGAATCTTTAAAAAAAAGTAGTTCTTATAGAAGTAGAGAGTAGAATAATGGTTACCAGAGGAGGGGAGGTGGTGGATTAATGAGTACAAAAGTATGCTATCTACCCTAAGTGAATCACTGTGCGGTATTAAAACAACACACGTTATCCCACAAATATGTACAAGTAAATGTTAAAATATTTTGAATTTAAAAAAAAGAAAATTAAGAGGAAAACTTGGATAATTATTATATCCAAAATAAAAAATATAACATGTATACAGAGAATGGGAAATGATATCAGATGCTTCAAAGAAAAAG